GAAAGTAATTCATGATTATGGAAAACGATAAATTGAATTAGGGACCGAGGTTAATAGGTAAGTCAATTCTTTTTATTAAGCATGTCTAAAAAGTTTATAAAGATCTTTATAAACATTAACCACCTACTAGTATTATACGATCAAAATTATCCGGCCACTTTTCAAACTGAAAAAAAAATTGAATATATATAATATATTAATAAATAAATTTTAAATAAATATATTTATATTAACTTTATTATTGAATATTACAAAAAAAAATTAAAAAAATTAATAATTTATTCTATTTCATTTGCGGTAATAATCACTTTAATTCTCCAGGACATACTTTTGATCAATTTTTATAATATTCTGATGGTCCTTTAACGAATATGATGACATATAAATAAAAATGTGTTTCATGTCATATTAGCACGTAACGCTCTGCATAATTTTGGCCAAAACAAATTGGCCGGATAATTTTGATCGCCCTCTGTATACCAGCTTTTTTCTAGATCAAAATCAAAATAAACCATTTCTTTTGATAAAACATTTGTGGGATTTCTATTAATTAAGCTGTGGGTAAATAAACAATAAAGTTGTATGATTGGAAATTGTAAATTGCATTTTGTGATACTACGAATTCGTAATAAATCAGAAACGAACCAAAAAGTAAAAAATTTATTTTTGTTATAATAAATCAATCTTGTGAACGTAAAAAAAACCGATATATCGTTCAAAATGAGTAAAGATAAACCTACGATCTAGGACATAAGTAAAAAAATCAACTATTCGAGTTACACACATAATCATGTGATGAAAACGGGTAATTCGAGTTAGAATTCAGTTAGCTCAATTTGAAATAGTTTTCTATACCTTAATTTTTGAATGTAGATTATGTAATCACTTTTTTGGTTTGGTAATACGAGATGTGAAAAAATTTTAGATCTAGATTTTCTATTTTTTTCGATCGGAAAAAAAAAATTTTTTTTTTCTGATCATAATAGAGGTTTCAATATGATTATATAAATACAGTTATAAATATCAAAAAATTTTTTTTTCTTTAATCCTTACAAAAATTATCTTTTATCCTGGATATCATCATTATTTGTCTGATAAAAGATAATATAATAAAAGGATTTTCTTTTTTTTTATTTGATAGTAAAGTAACGAGTGGGTTGTCATATCATGCTTAATTTATCTAAAAAGTGTACTCGTTATTCTTCAAATACTGCTTCAAAAGTATGGCGTACAACAGTAAGTATTAATAATACAGATAATTTCTTCATTGATGATTAGGAGATTTGATTCAAAAGTAAAAATGTAAAAACAAAATATCATTCATCGGACTTTTTTAATTGCTTTACCATATCCAGAGACCGTCACAAGGCTTAAGTCCAGCAATAAGCTCTCGTGTACTCGGTTCACATCCTGTGCTCAACTCAATATTAAATAGAGCATATAATTCACAAAAAGGTGGTCCTGTTATCGGTATAGATTTGGGCACAACGAATAGTTGTGTTTCCTTGATGGAAGGGAAAACTCCAAAAGTCATCGAAAATGCTGAAGGTGCTCGTACCACACCATCCGTGGTTGGATTTTCCAAAGATGATGAATTATTAGTTGGTCAAGCCGCTAAACGTCAGGTAATGTTTCCCGATTATCTGTCACCCCGCGCAGTTCTTTGTAATCGTTGAGAGATCACACGGATTGATTTTCTTCGTTTATCTCATACTTCTCGTCTCTTAGGCAGTAGTAAATCACGAGAATACGGTATTTGCTACAAAACGATTGATCGGTCGTGTATTCGATGACCCTGCAGTACAGTCCGAAGCAAAAGCAGTACCATTCAAAATCATAAAACATGATAATGGGGACGCATGGGTAGAAGCACACGGCAAGAAATACTCACCATCCCAAATTGGTGCTTTCGTGCTTAATAAAATGAAAGAAACAGCTGAAGGGTATTTGGGTAAAAAAGTAAAACACGCCGTCATAACGGTGCCAGCTTATTTTAATGATGCACAACGTCAAGCAACAAAAGACGCGGGAAGAATTAGCGGTTTGGAAGTTTTACGTGTAATTAATGAACCAACCGCTGCGGCATTAGCTTATGGATTAGATAAAGCCGGTGATAAGACGGTAGCCGTGTACGATTTAGGTGGTGGCACTTTTGATATTTCTATATTAGAAATACAAAATGGTGTATTTGAAGTGAAAAGCACTAATGGTAACACCTCACTTGGTGGTGAAGATTTTGATTCAAGTTTAGTGAAATATATTGTTCAAGATTTCAAAAAAGAGCAAGGGATTGATTTAACTAATGATAAAATGGCAATACAACGTATTCGTGAAGCAGCTGAAAAGGCTAAGATTGAACTCTCTTCTACTGTAAATACTGATATCAACCTACCTTACATCACAGCTGATAGCACGGGACCAAAACATATTAATTTGAAATTAACTAGATCTAAATTTGAATCCTTGACAAAAGATTTGGTGGATCGTACAATTACACCTTGTGAGAAAGCCATCAAAGATGCTAATATTAATGCAAAAGATATTAATGAAGTCATCTTGGTCGGAGGAATGAGTCGTATGCCAAGGGTTGTAGACACTGTTAAAAGTATATTTGGTAGAGAACCAACCAAAAGCGTTAATCCGGATGAAGCTGTTGCCATGGGTGCCGCCATTCAAGGTGGCGTTTTATCTGGAAGTGTAACTGATATCTTATTGTTGGATGTCACACCGCTTTCACTGGGTATCGAGACACTTGGTGGTGTTTTCACGAAATTGATTAATAGGAACACGACCATTCCAACAAAGAAATCACAGATTTTCTCCACCGCTGCCGATGGTCAGTCCGGTGGTATGTAAAATGAATAATTCATGGCACTTTTTTTTTTTCCATGTTGTTTGCAAAAGTCTTATTCTCATCATTATCATTCTTGATTTTATAGTGGGGGTATCCGTATACCAAGGTGAAAGGGACTTCGTCAAAGATAACAAATTATTGGGTAATTTTATGTTAACCGGTATTCCACCAGCACCAAAGGGAATTCCGCAAATCGAAGTTACGTTCGATATTGATGCTGATGGTATTGTTAATGTATCAGCAAAGGATAAGGGAACAAATCGAGATCAATCCATAACCATTACAGCATCATCAGGTCTCTCTTCTAAAGAGATAGAAAACATGATTCAAGATGCGGAGAAATATGCAGAATCCGATGCGAAACGAAAAAGTATAATCGAGGCAACTAATTCTGCCGAGTCTTTTATAAATGAGACGGAAAAGAATTTGGAAGAATATAAAGATCAAATTGATCAAGAAGATGATAAAAAAATTAAAGAACAAATCAAAAACTTACAAGAGGTTATTTTGAAAGGTGATGAAGCTGACCCAGAAAAAATCAAGGAGGAAATTCATAATTTACAAAAATCTAGTCTTAAATTGTTTGAAGTTGTCTATAAGAAAGCTCAAGAAAAAAATGCAAGTTCCTCACAGCAAAGCGATGACAACTCAAAACAAAGTGATGACAACTCAAGCACTGGATCAACATAAATGATTCGAGATCTTATGATTGGAAAATATTAAGTGAACTTTAGATCTTTTTGATATCTAAAGAAAAAAAACGTCATTCATAGATCAACCATTATTCATTGTAATAAATCCCCACTCCCACAAAAATCACCTTTATAATAAAAAAAAATTATTCAATCTTGTTAATTCATGTAAAATATGTAAAATCAAACTAATAATGGTAACCTTTACCTCTCGTGGTTGATTATTTCCAATTCTATAATTGCTTACCGGAAAAAGTAATATTATTTCGCTAAATCACGTGCCACCTCCTTGAATCTTGCTCTTCACATGATATTCTTATCCTTAGCAACAATAAATAACGTATTGGCGTAAATTAAAATAGGCAATGATTCATTTTAAGCATTATTCCTTAAAAAAGTCACCCCTTCTGAGGTATGTGATTATTGAGTGGTTGAGTGACTTGTTCTGCAGGTTGAAAATTTTTTTTATTTTGTACTCGATTCAAATGATATTAAGCTCATCTTAAAATTTAGCTGATTGGTTGATAATATGACCACACATCTGTTGTATAATTATAATTGGACTGTACAAAATAATTCTTTCGTATGATAATTGTTCCCAAATAAAAATAAATAAATAATTACTTAAATAAAAATTCGTTGGTTATTTGGCTATTAAAAATATTTTTTAAATAAGCTTATTTAAATCCATATATATATTATGTTTTTGCACGGTTAAGAAGTTGGTTGAACACGGCAGATACTCCGATGAGAATCACATAAAATCAGGAGACGTGGAAATAATTGGCTTGTTAAACCTTTTTTTTTTTGTTTGTTCAAAGCCTGCAAAATTAAATCCAAGCCAAAGAATGTGAATTTATGAACAATATTACACGTAATGACGCGATAATTCGAAACCTTTCTTATCAATATAATACCATAAAGTTTTCCTTTTTATTATTTTTATTTAATTCAATGTTCTGAATTCAATGTAAAATTTCGACTGGCCAATCATGTTTGATCGGATGAATTCTCGGACCAAAAAAATTTTTTTTTTATGAGGGGATAATTGCGTAACCTTTGATCAATACATACAGCATCCATTTTTGGTTATTGAAAAAAAAGATTATTTAAGATTTTTTTCGTTTGAAATTTTTTTTTTTTTTTTTTTCCAAAAGCTTGCTTTACAAGAAAATACGAGTTTTTTTTTTACACCTTATACTTTTTGATAAGTATTTATAAAATACTTCACCCTTTTGCTGAGCGATCTCTTTCGACAAAAAAAAAAAAAAAAAAAAAAATTGTGCTTCTCGCAAAATAATTTATTTCTCTTTTCTTTTTTCTTTTTTTGCTTGAAGTACCCTTTTTTTTTTAAAAAAAAAAAAAAATAAAGAAAGCTGGACCCTCAAAAAATAAAAGTGAATAACTTAAAACTCTTACTTTTGCCTTTACCTTCTTCTGTTGTTGAACTGGTGATGCCACCTTTACAACAACAGACACAAAAGGAGAAGCGCCAAGGTCGTCGAACAAATCCATATCGACGACCGCCGAGGCTGACTATGGTTGGATCGGCTACCAATGCGACTTTCGAGTTTGTGGGTTCACAATACGAATGGACTCAAGCTCAACAAATTCATTCAAATACCGTAAGTGCTTAATGTGTATTTATTTTAATCTATAAGTGTGTGTCTTTGTTTAAAAAGAAAAAAAAGGAGGGGTTTGAAATATTGACCATATGATTTATTTTTTTTTCTTAAACCCGAAAAAAAGGTTGAAAATGAGTGGCAAAATACTACTACGAGCGAAAATGGGGACAACACAAATGATTATGATGATAATGGACAACCATCTCTTAAGCAAGTGAACGAAACCAGTGAGTTGGCGCTAATGGTTGTAAATTCGGATCAGAATAGAAAGAAAGCGAGCAGAAAACCTAAACGTGGAGCTGGCATAATTATGGAACAAGAAGGAAACGAAAATAAACGTCGCAAGATTACTCACGATAACGATTACAATGATACAAATCTCATGATAAACGGCAACGAAACAACCGAAGTTGTACCCATGGAGAATATTGGTATGGAGACTATTGGTATTGGGTCCTTCAATGCGAACAATGTGAATGTGACGACAACTACAGTGACAACTGTAACGCCTACAACGGAATCAACTCCGACAGCTATTAATAATACTAAAGTAGCTCGTAATAAAGCCCGAGGTTCGAATTCTCGTTCACGCGGAAATAAGTCACGAACGCGAAAAGTTTCTTCAAATACGACACGACAAAATCCGCGAAAATCTCGTGGTAAACGTGGCCGCCCTAACGTTGCTATATCAGGATCAAGTCGAAACGACAACATTCGTAGTAGTAATCAAGGCGAACAGCGTGACTTGACATCAAGTGCATCTCAACTGACTGTTGCTCCAGTTCCTAATGTGGCCGAACCCGAGCCGAGATCAACTATAGTATTGCGAAGATATCTTGAATCACTTTGTGCAAGCGAACAAAAGTTGAACCGCGAAAGATTGCTCCGTCTAGGGACTTACTTGCTTGATTATTTTGTTTCGCAGGCGTGGTGTCGTCCTTTTGTTAATCCTGAAGACGAATCGGCATTCTTCTACCGTTCGGTCATTTCACGCTTGATGGATTTGACAACGGTCGAACGTAATCTCTGGGCGGGAGAATATGATGGTACAATTTCTAAATTCTACGATGATATAGCCCAGATTATGTATAATGCTTTCAAATTCCATCATGAGGGAACCATAATATTCAACGAAGCGAATTCGATGTTGGCTAGTTTCGTCGAAATAACGACGAAATTTTCGAAACCTCCACATGACTTTAATAAATTCGACAATGAACTTGCTCAGGTTGATTCTAAACTACCCCACGAAGAATTCAGCGACGTTTGTGGTGTTGCACCGAACCTTGAAAGGTAAAGTATCTTAATAATTGTGTTCCTAGATTTCGTGCTTTATATTCGTTGTAATTCCTCCTTTTTTTTAAAAAAAAATTACATTTAATAATTTTATTTGAATGAATAATATTAATATTTTATAATTTCATATATACTTTTCTTTAAAATAGTCGAATATTTATAGTACCTTTATATTCGTTCCGCCAAATCTCTAAAAGCGGAAGCAATGTTGCAAAACTCCCCCAGGCTGCTGCTGAACGTTTAGATCCGATGTCGCGTCCTCTCTTTGATGTATTTGAACGCGGAAGCATCCCACCTGTAAGATTTCAGCCGACGGAAGCGAATTGTAATTTCGGACGTCTATATATTACGATGGGCGCACAGAATATTAAAAATTGTAGAGATGATCGCAATGCAATTCTCGTAATAGTAAAGGATGTCGCTTATACACGCGGAACGAATCGATTGCGATGCAATGTGATCATTTCGAAACCGTTTGGTGAGCTACGCGAGCTCGATACGATCGGGTTTCCGGAGTTACAAGATGCTCGATATTGGACTCGAGTTGCTTTTCTAAGCAGGGTAAAACTCGATCTCGAAGTGGGCCCAAAATTCTTTGATAAATATTTGCGAACTCCTTTTAAAGTGTCAGAATACGGTAAAGAAATTATAACACTACAGCAGCATGAAAATTTTTTGGCAGCTTTGAATTTACGACAAGGTCACTCGTCACCTAAAGGGCTTTCGATCTGGCATCGACTAGTAGATGGCAAGTATTAACTTTATTCTTTATTTTAAAGAAGCGTTTGAACTTTCTTTTATATTAATTCTTTAAATTTTTTCTTTCGATTTGCATTTATAGAGGCGAATAGAGTAAACGTACCAATCGAAAGCTTCGAAACTCTCGGAAAATCAATTCAAGTCGACGCAGAAGGATTTTTTAAACGAGTTTTCCACGTTCCTGGTGATGAACTATATGTCGTGCAAAACTTCAAAGAAATTTCAAATGATACTCTTGAGACGAGGATCAGGGAAGCAGTATGCTGTTTGTAAGTTCATAAAATTTGTTAAATATATTATGATTATGTAATATATTAAGGTGTTTATCTCCTTTTTTTTTTAAAAAAAAAAAAAAGAAAAACGAAGGGAGTCTCTCATACCGGTCAAATCCGATCTATTTACAAAGATGATCGAGAAGATGAGCTTGTCGGTCTTTCCATGGTAAGGTATGGCTTTACGTTGAAGGAGTTCGCCTTCAATACTCGTGCTCCCCTCACAGGTGAGCAAAAATTCAAGCTCATCCACGATATGATAAAAGGCGTCAAAGCGCTACACGATGCCGGATTTGCGCATCGGGATCTCTCCGAAGTTAACATGATGGTAAATTGTACTACTGAACTTTTGTCGGACGGTAGCGCCAAACCCGAACTCGTAATAATTGATTTCGGGAAAGCCGAGTTTATCAACCGTGATGATGTGTTGGCGTAAGTGAATTAGTTTTCCTGGACTTCTTTTTTTTTGGCCTAATATAACATATAGCCATAAATGTTTTATTGAAAAAAATTCAATAATATAGTTGGTCTGTTGGTGAGGTAACCAACGATAAGTTGGAACATCTTCCACGGATTAAGACGGTGCCAGATCATGGCTATAAATTGTACAGGTAAGCCAATGTTAATTAATAATTTTTATATCTTTATTGTATGAAAATTTAATGAATTTTGATAATTTAAATAGGTCCGCGGCAACACTCCCTCGTACTAAAAATGACCATGCAATTCTCCCGTACCCAATCGATCCTTGCTCAGAAGATGTATATGCAGCTGGAATTTTAGCGTGGCGAATCTTTTCGGGTCAAGCACCTTGGGGAGGAATCCTTGATACCGATCTTAAGAATCTCAGAGAAATCGTATCGGATCCCGTCAAAATCAAATTCCATACAGAAAAAAATGTTAAGGGGATGAAGTCTCGAGAGTTATTATTAAAGTGTATAACCGCGTCTTCGCAGGATCGTAGTACTGCAAAAGAATTGCTTGATTGGCTTATAAAAACCAAAGAAGAATTGATTTCCGAATGGGCGATCTCTGGAAGAAAGAGAATAAGAAAACAATTCTAGATCAAATCTGGTGCAGCTGAAAATAAATAAATAAATAAATATCATTCATGTGGAAGAAAAAAAAATTTTTTTTTTTAATTTATTCCAATTTATCACAATTTTAATGTTTGAATTTGCAAAAAAAGGACATAATTAGTTGCTGATTAATTCAATTGAAAGATAGCTGTAATATTTATCCACCTTACCTTTTATTCATTATTTCATTGTGTCTCCCAATCTTCTATTATTTTTCATCTACGTTACTATTAATTTATTATAACGTTTAAAATTGAAGGAATATTAAGTTAGAGGATTCCTGGAATAATAGACATGGAGGAATTTTTATTTAATGGTAATCTTGTCACTTCCATATATTTGTTGAAAATATACCCGAATTCTGGAAGCAATAGGAAGCTTAGTAAGTACAAGAACCTTACTACCTTGAATTATTCGGTGTGTTGAGATGTCAAATAACAACAAAGTTTTTGATGCTTATATCTTTTTAATCTTTTTATGATTTCAAGTGCGTTTTTACTGTTAAGCCAGTTTAATAAGTACCAAAGCTTATAAGATTAATTTCCCACGGTTTAAAATAAAAGTTCAAGATATTGTCTCCTTGTTGAAGTAGAGAAATTTTTGAAGTTTCAATATTTGATAAATTATCATCATGTTCCTTCAACAGAGTAAGTGGTATAAATCTTTTTAGCTTGGATTAATTTTTTTTTTTTTATAAAATTCTAATTTTCTTGAAAAAAATTGTTTCCTAGAAATGAGTCAAATTTCAAAACATTTGTCAAATTACACAAACATTTCTATTTCAAGAAATGCTAAGGAAATTCAATGTTCATTGTGATGTTTTGAAAGAACTATTATTATAATAGGTATTGTGCATGTTTATTCAAAGAATTGAAGGGATTTTTTAACAATATTTTTTTGTATTACTAAAAAAAAAATGCGGCGATAGTTAGTTCAATTATAAATAATGAAAAGCATATGTATTTATCAAATATTATGAAGAAACGGCGATAGTTAGTTCAATTATAAATAATGAAAAGCATATGTATTTATCAAATATTATGAAGAAACAATATTTAGATTGATCAACTTTATATTTTTTAAACACTTTAAATGTATCTCTGGTTTAAAAATCATGTTATTAAAAGAAAGTTTATTGTAATAGTGCAAGTGTAATTAATAAAAAGAAATAAGATAAACATTTTTCTCTTTTTTATAAAATCAAAGCGAATACAAAAAAAGTAATACAATATAAAATACACAATTAAGCAAATAATCAAATAAAAATAAAACTCAATATATTTAATAATAGTTCTTTACATGCCCTCAATTTTAATCGTCTTGATCTTTTAAAATATGTGTAAATGAGAAAGGCATAAATTTTCTGCCCGAACCCTCATAAAATTTATTATTGAATTCAACCCTGTCAAAAGAAATAAATGATTATTTAAATAGAGGAAAAAAAAAAAAAAAAAAAATATATATATATATATACCAATGCAAACGTAATGCGTGTAAGAAAGCGGATAATCCTTCCATGAGTAATAAGATACCAACAGTCAAAACAAACCATAAGACCGCTGTTATCACGAGTAAGATAAACCCAACTACTCCTTTGAAATGTATAGTATTTTTCAGAGTCATATCATATAAGACAGCAGACAATTCTAAATTTTAGTAAGAATAAGAAAAATTAATAATCTTAATTAAAAAAAAAAAAAAAAAAAAAAAGTGAATATATTGTAAGAAAAAACTTACGAGCATGTGCTAAACTCAAAGCCCATAACCGTAAATAACTTGCTGTATTAGAAATACAACCCAAACAGAATTCGATCGTATGAATGACCTGATGAATCATAACCTCTCCGAAATCAAACTCTTCCTCCTCATGCATTTCCTCTGCTACTATAGCTCCGCCGTGCTCATTATTCTCATCTGTAGATATACGTGTAACGTCAGCTTGCGGATTATGATATCCCTGTGCCCGTATTTTCTTATACTCACGACGCAAAACGAAAGGCTTCACAAACAACATCCAAGGTATGCAGACCGCAGATGTAAAGAGTAGTGCGAGCTGTATAGTCCCCTATTATGATATTAATAATATATTTATTTCTTAATAAATATAAAGAACGTCGATAAATGGTTTTAATTAAAAAATAAATTTCAAAAAAAGCAAACCTGTCCAGTATATAATTCATCATCTTTTTCAACGGAACCAGGTTGTAAAAACATATAAATCAACATATTTAATAATCCAGGCGGACTATTCCTTGGATTTCCGTTAGCATCAGGCTCGTACCAAGGTATGGACCACTTATAAATGATCGCAAAACACAGGTATCCAAAGATACATTGCATAAATAACATCTGAGGAATGAATTCAGCCCAGATACTCAGAGTTTTTTTGAAATGAATGTAATTAAATATTGAAAGGAATATACCAAAACTCATCTAAAAATCAAAAAAGCAAATTTATTGTAATAATCATAACGTGTTAAAATTAAAAAATTTAATAATGATTATCATACCTGAATGACACCAAGAATTATAGACATTTTCATTTTATAAGAATTGGTGAACAGTAAAAAGTTTTCGGTACCATGCCAAGCCTATAATAAAGACACATAAGTTTAAAAGTCTAAGAAAGCACAAAAATTCATATTAAAAATATGGCTAACCGGATCGACACCAATTGGGTAAACACCAGTTTGCTTGCCAATTTCTTTTCCACTATCGGGGTCCATTTCAAACTCCCAACCAGATGTTGTCAAGTGCATGGTTCGAGAAAAGACATCATTATAGATCAACCCAGTGTAAATTGAAAATAAGCCCATCAAAAGAATAATGTATCGACCACCAAAAAACATATCAAAGATCTATAAATAAATATATATATATAAAAAAGAATTAATAATTACAACCGAATAATGCAATGAATTATTATTTCATAAAACACGAATTTAATGTTCTCAACCCTCTATAATATATATATATAAGGTAATGGATAGTAGAATATAAATGAAATACATACTTCTCCTTTTCCAGAATTAGCAAGCTTTTTCTCGAAAATTACAAGATATAAAGCCGCTAACGTAACTAAGATACCATGACCAAAATCACCAAACATCACAGCAAAGAGGAAAGGGAAAGTAATAATGGTAAATAATCCAGGATTAACTTCACGATATCTAGACACACCGTAAGCATCAACAATTTCTTGGAAACCACTAGTAAACTTATTGACACGATGGAAAGTGGGTGGTTCTTTTGTAGTACGTAATTCATTCAGGATGGATGGTACTGTGGAACCTGAAGCATCCTAAATGAATAAAGGATACGAACAACTTAAATATATAAATTTACGACTCAAAAAAAAAAATGATTTTATATAATGTACCGTAGCAGTCCTAAGTGCTTGATGGACTTGGTTAATATCATTTTTAGGACACCAACCCTCAGCAATCAAGCATTTACGATTTACATCATAGTTGAAAAGGTTCATTGTATGATAAATAGCTTTCTCCTTTCTTATAATAGTACTCCAAGCTGTAAGATCATCAGCCACTTTTATCAATTCAGCTCTCCTAGTATTATTAGTATTTTGTAGCACAGAATTCAAATCTTCGATTCGTGCAGTAACCTCTAATAAACTATCTCGCCTTTTATCTGAACTATCATCTACAGGATAAAGTGTAGCACCTAATGACTCTGAAATTTTCCTTATTTTATTCAAAATTTCTTTTCCGTGAGCGAAAATAATAAACACGTTCTTTTCAAGTGTTTCATCAGTTTCGGGATCAGTAATCGGTTCATCGATCTCTGCGTAATTCAGATATAAGTTTCCACGTAAAGCTCGCCAAAGGATTCGCTCAAAGGTTTGCATTTTTGCTCTGGAGATTACACCGGTAACGAATCTAATTTATCACATGTCAAAAAATTTTTAAATAATCTTACAATTTTTTTAAAAAAAAGCTTATTAGCTTATTGATAATTTATCGCATACCCGAGGTTCGGTTGAAATCCAACATTTTCCTGATTTGTAGTAGCACCGCCTTGTTCAACATCTTGATCAAGTAAAGGAACGCTAGGTTCATCAAAAGAGTGACGAATATTATCTTGACGAGATACTGCCTAATAAGGGAAATTATAACCCCTAAAAATTGAATAATCGTTCTACAAATTTCAAATAAGATACCTTAAGGACCTAACCTCTTCGAAGAAGACAGCAGTTTCTTTGAGAACATGTCTAGCCTCCGTTAATTCTAAATATCTTTTTTGTAAAGTTTCATATGAACTGTTCATTTGTGAAATTCGACGTTCGTGTTCATTTATTTTTTCTTCGAGATCATCAACCTCTTGAGCATTTCTCACACGTGCACTAGATACATCGCCAGTTAATGGACGAATTGGAATATCGGACTTTGCAACCTGAGCATTAAAGAAACCTATAAAACCATTATTTTTATATAAACGATTGAACATTAAACTTCTAGTTATAAATGTAATTTTCGATTGTAGTGCAACTCTAGAGAAATACTCACGAAGGTGTCTTTCCATTTCATCAAATCGTCTAATTTCATTTACAAACGCGCGTTGAAATGCATTTACATCGGGATTTAACTATAACAAAGTAATAAAAAATATTAATAAAAAATAATATAATTTAAAAATATTTGTTATAATAAATAAAAACACACATCTCTGAATTGAATCAATCCCAGCTCTCCCAATTCCGCCACAGTTGGCTGAGCTGTTTCTGACGGTATGTATAGTTGGATGAGGGACATCTCCTCCGAACGGAAGAGAGTTGAAGGAGGCATCTTATCAAATTTCTTCCGATTCACACCGTATATTAGTGTCGTTGCTTCTTTGACCCTTCTTTAATATAAATAGTTTGAAGAATGAAAGAACAAGTTGAATTATCATAGATTTAAACTATCTCTCTTTAGTGATAATCAATATTTTAGCCAAATCTTGGATTATAATTGAAAACTAAAATTACCATTAATCATTCCGACGACGAGATTTTAAACGTCCAGTAGGATCTGATGTATATACGGCAAATTCCGCCGATTAACAGGTAAAGAAAACATTTGTTACATCTGTTACACATTAGATAATATTTATGTCCTACAATAAGATTCATATAGATAATCTGATATGCAAGATATTTTAACATTGAATTATTTTAGATCTTAAAAATCTTAAAATTTATCAATCAATTATTTCAAAAAGAAAGCCTTATTAAAAAGTAAATATAAAAAACCATTATTTATTAAATTTTAAATAAAATAAAAAGAATAATGAGATCAATCAAGTTAATTTCATATTCTAAAATCTTTCTATAAAATCAATTAATAAAATATTTAAGTTAAATATTTTAATAAATTTAATTAGCCTTGATAATAAATAATCAACATCAACCGAATCTTTTAATTGAAAGATAATCCAAGTAAATCATCAATAGCACTCCCTGTTATAATATAAAAATGTGAGACAGAATTAACACATGCAAAGTATATGTTACACGTTACCTTTTCCAGAAGGTTCCTTATTATTAGAATCACTTAGGCCAAGCAAATCATCAGTAATTTGAATTTGACCTCGTGGTTGATCAGGTTCTTCCAGATCGATTAGCCATGATTCCGAAGAAGTTACTTTCCTACTTAAATTAAAGAAATAGTAAGAATCAGCATTTAAAACATTATAAATACTAAATAAACTAATTACGTAGTTGGTGGTGTTTTCGGCGGTGGTTGATCCTCGAGCTGTTCGAATATTCCATTCTTTACATTCTCATATCTTTTCAGAACCGAATTAATCAAATCATTTAATGTTAACAATCGATCTATATAAAATGCATAATTAAGGTTAATAAATGCAGCAATCTTATTTCGTCATAAATAAATAAAAATATATACCAATGCTTTCCGTATCATCATCTTCTGAAACAATTTTCTGAATTTTAGGCTGTACAGCTTTACAAGCCTGAGATAACTCCTAAATTTTCATATATTAGTATTCTGAGAGAAAACTATTCTAATTCAAATTAATATTTCGACAAATTGGTTACCTCAAAAATATCACTAACACCTATCTTTTCACCAGATTTAACATTATCAAGCATGTCATTCAAAAGTATCGTTTTTTGTTGAATTTTATCTAATTCTTCATTGGCTTGCTTCTTATAATCAGGTTTAGCTTCGATATCCTAGAAAAGATCCACTTAGTGTTTGTATTAATTGCCAAAGTCATTTAAACATGAATTTTAAAGAATAAAAAATACTTTATAGCCAATATTTAAACTTACGTATCCAGCCATAACTTTCATAAGCTCATTCGCTTCTTCTAAATCTGATGGAGTACCTCTACGAATTAATTCTTGTAATTTCTAAAATTCACAGGAAATAATGATATATAAACATAATTAAAATTAAAACCAATATACTACAAATTGTTATAAAAATTATAAATAAAGCAATCAAAAAGTAAACAAAATACTTCAACTTTACCGCTGCTTGCGCAGCACGATCCTCTTGCTCAAGTTCTTCTGAAGACTTCAATGTCTGATTACAAATTATAATTATAAATTAAATTTTTGCTTATGTTGTATTTAATTTCTAAAGATAATGAATTAATTCGAACCTCTGATGGATTGAGGACTGCCGCGGATCGATTATCTATTTCAGGGAATAAATAACCTATAAAAAAAATAAAATGATGAATTTTGTATTCTCAATTTATTTCAAATTTATTTAAAAAAAAATGATAAGGACCTTTATAAAGCAGCAAACGATACATGTCATTGATATGAACAAGATCCTCTTTATGACGCGAAGTAACACATATGGTTGACTTCCATGCCTGTATGAATTCCAAAATCCTCAACTGTATTGGATTCAGTAAGATCTGTACAAATAATAATAATTTAATTACCGCGGATTTAACTTTAAAAAGATTAAAAATGAAATGCTAATTAACTTACAGGTGGTCTTTCCGGGAATTTTCGAACAAGATCATTAAGAAATTCTTTTGTCGCGATTTGTAGATGAAAGGGATAACCACAATTTTTTACGCAGATATCCAATAACTAAATATTAACTCGTTAAATTGATTTTCTACAAGATTTTTTCACATAAAATATTCATACCTTAAGGGCCAACATTGAAACATTTGGATTTCGATGATTTACAAGCTTCACGATATGCATAGCAGCATCGCGTGGACTAATAATAATAAAAATTAATTTTTTTTTTAAAAAAAAGTAGAATTTATTCATTAACATACTAATTTTGCTTTTTTTGATTGATCAAATCCACAATTTCTAAATCCAATGCTAGATCTGGTTCAACTAATTGGGGATTACACGCTCTTTCTATCAATTATAATTTGAAATATATTAATTAATTAATTAATGCTATTTATTTTATTAAACCTCTTTTTATAAAATAAAAAGTACCTATGATAGTTTGAATGGTTGGTTTAGGAACTACGGAAGGAAACTAAAGGAAAATAAGGTTAAAAAAGAGAACCAGATTGAAATTACCACAAACCTCGTTCTTTTTAAATGCGTAAAGAGGACTTACTTGAAGAGATCCGAAACTCATTCTGAATAATAGTTAAAAGTAAATTGTGATGGGAAGTCCAAGAGTTTGCTTTATCAACTTTTTAAACCACGTGATTCGGAAATGACATATAACGCACGTGATCGGTCTAGAGAGGAAATTATTTAAAAATTTGTTACTTTAAAATTTATACATGTATCACATTCTAAATTCAATCAATATAAAAATTAAATTATGATACTAAAAGAGCAATACTATTTATTCCTGTTAATACAACGGAGTATATACCTATTCATGGTAAAACACAAATTATGATATGCATAACAGTATAACATTCGGATGAATCTCAGAAACATTCTGAATAGGCAATTAAATCCTATAGGAAGATGTTCATACTTTGCTTCAATGCTGCAATTAATATCCTCTTTTTTTCATTTGCGCATTTTTGTGTTAAAAGTAATATATCCTTAGCAGTATATGTAGAAGTTTTCACAAAATTCTCTTTAAACTTCTCATCATCCAAGCGTAAATAATTAAGATAGTGTGCTTCTTGAATAATTTGATCTGATTCTAAATATTTCTCTGTATTCTATCGCAAAAGGCTATGAAAATTTCTACAGGAACTTAGGCAGCTCAGTTTGCAATATTGGATGATCATTCATCATTCAATAATATATATCTGATAAAAACATTAGTGGCGTTTTATTGTAATTCCTTCTCTTAAATCTAAGAAATAGAGTCCAAACCTGAAAACAAGATTCAAAATAAGCATCAAATGATCCAACACAAAACAATATAGCATAAATATCTAAAACAAGTGGTATCGTATTGTCTAAACGATCTCTGAGTGCAATATTCTGGATCTTTAGAAAGGAAAAAAGATTCGTAGAAAATTGTCTGTGGCGCATGATTTTTTCGGCATAACCTGTCGATGCGTGTCAACGTTAAAATCATGATGGGTTCTAATTTTGAACCTTATACAAAAACCTGGTATTTTTGTTTGCTGGTGATTTCAAGTACTTTAACCAACTTTTTTTTATATAGACAATAATGCCAGTATTATTTTTGGTGCAACTGTTGCTGTCGGAAAAGATAACTTCGAGTCTTTTATTGACGAGCGGCACACTTTTATTGATAAGCCAATGCTTATGAAAGAGTTTATTGAGAGTTCAGACTCTGTATCTCTTATTCTTCGTCCTCGCCGATTTGGCAAGTCAACAAACCTATCCATGTTACAGCACTTCTTTGAAATATCGCATTCCCAAGCTGAAATATTTATCTGCAGAAAACGAAAACTTTTCGAAAAGTTGAAAATTTCGACCGAAACAAAAATTATGGAAAATCATTCTCTCAGGTTTTGATATTAAATTTCATTTACGATTTATTATTATTTTTTTTTTTACCTTGGTACCATTTATGTGGTCAGAATTCTTTAAATTAATTTGTGAAACTCTTACATCCGTCACGAAATAGGATTTAACTTCTGGAACTTGGGATGACATCATGACAAAATTAAGAAAATTGGTGGCTATTATTTACAGAGAATATCGTTACATTATCGACACGTTATATCCAGATGAAAAGGATGATTATATAACATATCCAACATTAGAATTTGCTTTAAAGAATCTTTCTGTATATCTACGACGATACCATTAAAAAAAAAATGTATTGTATTGATTGACGAATACGATTCCCCGATGGAATGTGCCTATAATGAAGGATATTTTAAAATTGCAAATGAATTTTATAAGAACATGTTTTAATCATTATTAAAGGTGATATATTTATCAACATTTATTATTGCTGCTGTTATTTTAATACACATTTTTGCTTCGAATTTTATTATTAGAGCAACGATAAAAATGTGTTTAAGGTTGTTGATGATATGAAGAACCTTCAAAATATAGCTCAAAAAGCATTAAACCAAATTGAAGAGAAGCAGTATAGAGCAACTTTACAACATGAAGTCAGAAAAGTTTTGGAAATAGGAATTGCGTTCAAAGGGAAAATGTCTTGTGTATTGGGACGTTCATTGCGTAGAAATGAGAATAATACGTGGAGCGAATCTTCACAATGATTATAAAAGGTAAATCAAAAATTTACTAAAAGATCAGCATTGTTATATTAATTTGGATACTTTTGTTAGATTGATGTATAATTTACAGTAATCATATACTGTTTAAAATTAATAAAAAACGTATTATTTTTACTACATTTATTTGAAGTTCAAAATTACTCATAACTAAGGATGCAGACTTTTACTTTCTCAAAAGTCACGTCAATATAACAAAGTTATTTTTTTCCGATACATAACACATAATAATTATAAACTTTATTATTATTAGATAAGCTTTAAGTATAAATTAGATTGTTAACAAACTAGCATAGACTTCAATTTATTATTAAGCTAATTTTATGCACATGACCGAGATCAGCCAAGTGGTCTAATAATATAAATTTTGACCAAAATTTGGATTTACCCCTTTTCTACTGACTGCCTCCCATATGTGTTACGGCTTCAATCCGATCGTCAGCTTCTTCTGTAGTTATAATTTTCGGTTTTGTCGGCTGAATAACAGAATCATTAAAGTTACATTGTTAATTTTATTGTCTGATAAATAATAGATAATTAAATATAACAGTTAATACTTACTTTTGAGTAAACAACTTTTCTTTTTGAACCACCTGGACGCCTTTGCACTCGGTTAGTTCGGATTTATGATCAAGACCGTGTATTTATTATGGAAAGATTACTCGCGATTACACCACATCCTGATGAGGTTACTAGTGATACGATTATAAGACGTATGATCTCGGCATCAGATGCAGTAGAGGAACATACAAGAATTGAAATTTTAGAAGGTTTTTTTAAGGTGGCAAGTTCGGTTTTGGAAGGACCGTCAAGAATAATGTCTTTATAATCGTGAAAAAAAATCACTCGCATGCTCGTGTGTACGTGAGCGTAGCTATGTTAAATTAGAATCAGTGGATGAATTTTTTCAAAATAGTCAACATAAATAACATAAAAATGCTTACCCAACATGCGATTTTTTTTGTACGTGTACAAATGAAAGTTTTAGAGTTTCCCGTAGCAATATTCCAAGGTCTTCTCCCTCAAGGGCGTGAATGTCTCCACACAACATGACAGATTGTTCAGGTTTCCCGCAACAGGGATGTCCGTTATATCTAGGGGCTAAAAAAGAGAGTAAGCAGTTAATTGACATGTGCTATGTAGTAAAGAAGGAATGTAGCATCTCGCAAAAGAGAAGGTAGCATTTCCATTAAGAGAAGAAAAGGTATGCTTACCTGTCATCTAGGCTATTGAGTAGAAAGAAAAAAATTGACTGGAAAAAATTTGACGAAATGTTATATTTATATATTTGGGTTAGTACGTACGAAAATCATGCTGCGTGACTATATAAATCATATGATCAAAACCTGATTTTTGTACGTACTAACCCATTTGATACGCGACTTTTTACGCGACACGTTTGTTGATCTTTATTATAAGTCGGAATCATTGGAGCAGCATTTAATTTCTTGAGATTTTATTGGTTGAAATATTTTTTGAAATATCAAAATTAAAAATTGATTTTGATTGGTACGAAATTATAATTTACTAGAAAAGAAAATCTAATTTTTTTACTTGTAAAAAAAATAAAAAATTCTTTAATTAATTAAAATAAAAGTATCTATTAAATAAATTTATATTTTATGATAGTCATTAATAAATAAATATTAATAATAATTCATCTAAAAATAAGTATTATAATAAAAATGATCCAAATATTGTTTAATTTAAACTATAAAAACTAATATATATCAAACTTAATATAATCAATAATTTAAATGTTTAGATAAAAAAATAAGTGTAATATTGATATGTGAATAAGCTTTTCATCACAAATGTTTTGCAAAACAAAATAATAAGTATAATTATTGTTTTGAATTATATAAAAAGAGTGTTGTTTTTAATATAAGCTCCTATATAAAAAGATTAGAAAGAGGTGATAATATTAATAATAGTTTATTAGATAATGAAATAAAGAAAAGGAAGAAGAAGATGAAGAAAATGAAGTAATAGAAGAAAAAATATTGATAGACTTTAAAAATGCTTTAGAATTTATAAAAATATATTTTAATATTTATATATTAATTAATAATATCTTAAATTTTAGCTTTCATCTAAATTTCACTATGGCAAAGATCTTTCAAAACTTTTTATACCCAAATGTAAAGAAAAGAATGAATGACATATTAATGAAAAAAAACTGCATATCAATAAATTAGTTTTTGAAAAAATATCGCATCTTTTTTATTACTTTAAATCAATTGACATCTAATAAAAAAGATCAACATTTGATTTTATCACTTCATAATATAACAAATGTCTCCAGGGAGACCGTCTAGGTTACACAAAGTTTTAATATTGTCACATGTAACTGGCCAATAAAATTTCTAAAATTTTGATATTGTCACATTGAAAAATCACGTGCATACACAAATTTCCAAATTTAGAAAGAGTAATTCTAGTTTCTTTATACTTAAATTTCTAGACAAAATTAATCAAACTCAAAATATTGATTGGCAATTAGCTCAAACATTAATTAATTCAAAGAAATATATTATAAATTTACGATTTTAATATAAAAAATTTTTATTTATAGCTTTAACAAAAAAAATTTACAAATTTGAAGATAATCCAAACATATAAAACATTTAAACTGACTTTTTTGCAAGCAAATATTATGATAACCATGATCACATGCCAGAATGTTGCCATCATGCGAATTGCCATCACAATATATATAATTGCATAGTATAGCAGTATTTGGTCTTCTGAAAGTAACAAAGTCTCTTGAAAATGACAATCAGTTATCTTATACCCTAATGAAGAAAGTTTAAACGTGTTAATATTATCAGATGAAGATTTAACAACTAAAGAATACTGATCATACGCTTGATATATTTTCGTAAATATATCTAAAAATAATATAGCATACTTCTTTAAAGCATATGCAATTACTTTAGTGTATATAAATATTTTACAGAATTTACAAAATGTTGTTGAAAAACATTATCTTCTCAGTACTAAAATATAAAGTATGCTTTCTTTCATAATTGTTCAGTCATGAAAAACTTAACTGTACATCAGCGAATAATGTTATGAACGATTTCTATAAAATAATCACTTATTGAAGTAAGGGTAGCTGAGATGCCAAAATAAGTTGATCAAAAAAGTTCTTTAGGCTCAGTTCAATCCCTTCAAGTAATCCTCACAATTCATCAAATGCATATATGGGACCTTATTTCTTCAAATGTTCTCTATCATATAGATTTTTGCTATTTTTTTTGATAGCTCTGGTAAGATCAACCTTCATACTTACCTTCTCCTCACTTATAGCTTCTGCTTCCTTTTCGGTTAAGACTTTTACTCAATTAGGACTTCTTTTTAATGGATTTTTTACACAATGCATATAACATATGTTGCATAAACAACACATTCTATCTATATTACCTTCATTAAATTGTTGCTATTGACTTCTTTCTATTTTTTTCCATTCAACAAACAGAATATAGTCAACTCAAATGTCTGGCATTCTATGCAACATTTTCTCGATTCAGACATATTTCACTAGGTAAATAGTAATATAAAAGTTGTGGGATTCAAGAAAATTCAACATATATTATTAAACTTTATTGTGAAAGCTTCAAATTTGCTAAATATACTTGATCATGTTTCATTACAAGAAATGTGATATGTAAATCCCTGAAAAAATATTATAAAATGTATAAAAAAATTTATTAAATTGTATAACAATTTCCTTATATAGGACGGTTATACCTGAAACAAATGTCTATTATACTCATTAGAGTATAGTCACATTACGTCATTATACTATTATCTACCTATTAACTATTATTAATTTATATAATTAATTAATCATATCTGATAATATCATATCATTAAGATTTTGTGATCAGTCACATATGATTAAAAAATCTGTTGGTTGCCTGCTAAAAAATCTTTGGTAGAAGTGTTCCCTACAAACAATTATCAAAAAAATTTCTGGTCTATATCAAGAGATTCGAAGGCTTTCCATTTGCATCAGTTCTGTGTATACAAAGTAATTATAAGGTTATTGATTATAAGAAATCAAAACTTTTAGATGCTAGACAGACAAATTCCTTAATTTTTGTATCCTATTAGGAATAACAATTTTTGGTTTTTCATCATACCATACTTTAAGAAAAAAGATTTATTATCTTGATATATTTATCTTTTTTGCCGATTACGATTAACAATTTTCTCAAGTTTTTTGACATATTTATACCAGCTGGTGCTATGAAACTGATGCTGAGCTCCTTACCTTTAATGTAATTCAATATTTTTAAAAAAAGGTATCAAGCTCTAATCCATTCAAGAAAGGAAAGCGATATTCAATTATTAGCTTTTCACAAAGAATTTCCTTAGCTATCTGGATACATCTTATCTGAAATTTATGATTTTTCTTAGCTTCTCTTTCAGCCTGATCCTACTCTAGTTTTAAAATTCTAGCTTCAAACTCAGTGAGCCTAACTTTCTTATCAGTTTTTTTAGCCTTAAGCTCAATAATAAATACTTTAAACTCATATGTCATGATAGATAATATTTTTATATACAAAGAATTATTCAATATTATATGTAAATGTAAAACCACTTTATTAATACATGCGAAAAATAAATACAAATGTTCAGGATTTTGCCCATAATATACTATCTACATGATTACAGACTATAATTCCACCCCTATTTTATTGAACAATATTCTTTATCTTTGCTATTTTTCTATCTGATTTATCCTTCACACATGTCCTATCTTTCAACAAGTCAATGATTATACCCAAAACCTTTTTAACACCCTTACACAATATTTTATATTCTTTAGAGTTTTTAACCAGAGCCTCTTTAATAAATTCAATACTAAAAGGAGCCTTACTCACCTGTAAAATTTCACTTAGAGAATAGAGAAGAAAATGCTAATCTCTGGAATATCATAACCTTATATAGATAATCAAAATAGTCTTTGTCATGCTTTCGTTTTCTCTTGTTCGTTTGAAATGAACTTTAAAATTACTTGATATTTTGAGTGAAGCCTTTTGTTAACTTTTATCCTCTGTAATGTAAATAAGCTCATCATATTTCTATAAGTTTATATTTTGCAATAAGTTAATATAGGATCTAATCCTATGCTGGAGAAATAGTAAAATAATACAAGTTTCACCTTGATTGCATAGTCAACCTGCTCACTACTTTCATCTCCAATTATTTTATACTCAGGTCTCATACTAAATTTCTTTTTTATGATATCTTCTATAATACGAAAGATGGTATGTAATATAGTTAAAATGTACTCATTATGTATAAAATCCAAACTTACTTGTTATCACTAATGTTCTATAACTTTTAAGTCATAATTTAATATCTGACATACACAATTCGAGATGCTTATTCTTATCTGAGATTTTGTGGATTTGTGATATGAAAAGGTGTATAACTTTTATTTCTTCAGAGACAAGATCATATTTTGCCAATACTTTCTTTAAATTGCAGTACGTTGAAAAAGCATTTAACTTCTTATCATTACACTTCTTGACGAACTTTATGAGTCTTAATGCAAGACCTAAGCCTAAGCCAATACTGTGAAATTTCTCTTCAGTCAAGTCAAACAAATACTAACCCATAATCTCCTCCTTTTCTAAAATTTGATAGCAGTCTCATTAAGCTTTAAGTTCTGTTCCTGCAAAAATTCTATAAGCTTGACTATGTCATATTTTTAATTTCATCTGCCAATGAGACCATCTTATTTTCAGTAACAGTATTGGAGGTGAAAGTTTAGGCGTAATAGTTTCAGATATAGTGCTTTTATAGGGATATTTGACTCAAACAAAAAATAGTGTTACTTTCGTAGGGTAAAAATTTATTTCTGTTTAGGAAAGAGAATACTGGATATTAATATAAGTTTTTATATTACACAGGCATTATATCATTATACGTAACCCATTTCTTATATTTGATAAAATAATAATATTTTATTTATGAAATAAAAAATGGTAGCCAGCTTACATTACATAAAAATTGCGACTATAGCACTACATAACGTAAATAAAATTATTAAAATTCATTCACTTTCTGATTCGCTAAAGCCTAATATCTTCAGGATCTTTTTCTAATTCTTCCTGGAGGTATCCTTTTCCTTCCTAAATAATATACTCTCTTTTGATTAGTTTTACCTTTCTGCAGATTCTCTGTCGTCAAAGATCACTTGCAAATTTAGCATGATACATACTTTGATATTTTCAGATGTCTTCTATATGATGTAATGGTAACTACCACTTGGTCTTGTATTTCAGTTGGCTCAAACAAGGTTGAAATAGAACCACAGAGGGGTATTAGTCATGATGCTTACTCAGTGTAAATTCGCTTTGTCTAGATTCATTCCTCCCTGATAACCAAGTAAAGGATATAGATTACTATTTTTTGATACCTAGTAGATTTCTCGTAGTGGATTCCATGTGATATTTTTTTATACTTATGAATCTATAAGTATGAAGAGCCTCTGTTTAGACCTCTTCTTTAGACGCATCTTCTTTGGCAAGGTGGTCATTAAATCCAGAATTAACTAGACATTTAGGTTCTTATAAAGTTGTGTTTTTCTTTTTTAATAATTTCTATTTTCTATTTGTACCTATTTTTCATCTTAGAAGAGTTGTTAGTAGTGATACCTGACGAAATTACCTTTCTTAATTGACAAAATTGACGAAGCTGAAATGATGAAACTAGTTTTTTATTAATGACAAAATTATTTTACTTAATTGCCAAAATTATATTTAACTTGATCTAAATTTCTTGAATTAAAATACATTAAAAAATATAATAATTTTATATTTATTCATATAAAAATATTAAAGAGACAAAACTTTTGACGAAATTACAATTTTTCAAAAAAAGAGTTTAGTCAGGTATCACTAGTTGTTAGTGTGTTTAAATTTTTTATATAGAAGTTGGGATTAAAAATTATGTTGCTATATTGACAACCTCATTTGAATTTCTTGTTGACGGCTCGATCATTAAATATGGATTTTTTGGTTGTGATTCCAGTGATCAGTCGATCTAAATGGGTTTGAGCTTTTATTAGTAATAGAACTACAAGAGATAGTCATAGTTTAGTCATTTTAACTACTTTGTAATTTTTCTTTGTGATTTTTATCTAGGATACAATATAAAATTTTAATAAACTTATGGTAGTACTGCATCGTTAAAAGTAAAAAAAAAAACCCATTCGACTTCTCGTGACTAGACAGCTAATTACATTTATTTCAAATCAGCTAATCTCGAGACAATCACAATTGAATTATTGGCTGAAATTATAATTCAATAAATTCTACTTAAAAATAAAGGGGTTCAGATTTTAGCTTATTCGATCTGTATTTTTTATTTTTTTAGATTTTTTATGTATAATAAATTGTGTGATATGATGATGTTGATTTCAACCATTTCAACTTCATTTCGACTTTTGGGTTTTCATTTCGACTTCTTGTATTAGCTCAGGATGTTTAGTTAATATTTTATTTGCTATTCAATTACATTTGGCCAATTTGCAAAAGAAAATTCGGCTGATTATTTTTGCGATATTGATTTGCTTTTTATAAAAAGAACAGCTTTATTAGAGAATTTTTTTTAGTGAATTGCATTCATTTCCTTTGCAAGTTACTAAATAATATAACGCGATAACATCCAAGTTTAATTTTGCAAAGGGAAAAAAATATATATGCACGTGTCAACTGTGGAATGATCGACGACAACACAAACTTATAAAAAGTAGAAGATCGACAAAATCCTTAAAAAAACTGTCGCCACACATTCAATCTATACATACATTAAATACATTTTAAGATGACTTTAAGCGAAAGTAATAGCAATTATACAGAAACTTTAGAGGAGACCACAACCATAATAGTTCAACCTTCTTCTCCTACTCCCTCAAACTCCTCTTCTACAAGTACCACCAAAAAAGAAAATGAGGGTACAAATGGAAGTTCAAGTTCTTCAAATAGTACTGTAGGAGGAGGAAAATCAGCAAAGAATGTACCTAGTTCTACACCAGCAATAAATATTTTTTCAAATGATGGTAGTTTCTTGGATAGATTCAAAAAAATGAAGGCCGAGGAGGATGAAAAAAAGAAACAACTTGAGGCTTTAGAAAGGTGAGAAGTTAAAATACAAGAAATATTTTATAGTCAAGGGTGAATTAATTGAGTTGAATGTGTAAAATCATCCCTTGGAAATCGAATGATTGTAGGAAGACTTGATTAAAGTTGCTATTGGCTATTTCTTGTTTCTAGCTTAACTTTATTCTGTCTTCTTACCATTCGATTTTTTGGTGAGTGACTGATACTACGCTTTGTTGTTAGAACGGTGTTGCAATATAATAATTCCGTGCGTTCAAGAAGATGTTATTTGAAGAAAAAAAATGATACAAAAGGATTCTTTTTAATGTCAGATCGATCTATTAAGACGTGACCGGAAATTATTTTCTTTTTTATATTTTTCTTTGGTTAGCATTTTATTTTTTTTTCAAAAAAACACGACTTTTTTACTTACACAATTATATTTTTGAAAAAATTATTAAAAAAAAAAAACCAACCAACCAACCAAAAAAAAAAAAAAAATTGAAAAATTGAAAAAAAATAAATATATTATACGCTTTTATGGTGTTTTTTTTTTCTTTCGTGCTTTCTCGCTTTCTCTATTATTCTTTGGGGTTATTATTTGTGTGTATTTGAAAATAATTCGAATATTACAGAAAGAAGGCTTTTGAAGATCGAATTGTAAGTACTTACATATTATCTCTACCCTTTTTTTGTGTGTGTTAACAATCCATGATACCTAATTGAATTGAATTTGTTTCAATTAGAAAAACCGCGGAAAACGTAAGAATCAACCTACGGATGAAGAGCCGGATTCTAAACGCGTTATTCTAGAAGACAATGATCGTGAAGAAGTACTAGATCCAAAGGCTAATGCATATTTAAAGGAAATGCAAAAATATAATGAAAGATTATGTAAAGATGATGCAGGTCATGTTCGTCCGTTGGTAAAATAATTAAAAGATCATATTTATTATTGGAAAAGAAAGAAAAAGAAAAAAGACTTGAAAAGGATGGAAACTACACGACATAATGTAATTTGAAATATATATATATTTATTTTTTTTGAGGGGATCATATAATTAGGATTAATTATAAAGATATACACAATATGTATATTTTTGTATCAGCGATTGGTTTTTATCTAAGAATCATTTAGTATATATATATATAAAGATTCTTCTTAATACCTTTTTTACATTATTTTATTTAATCTTTGACATTATAATTATTATTACAATTTCTAGATAAATAATATATTTTTTCACCCTTAAAAATAATCTATTTATTATTTTCTTCAGAAACAGGAGTCTGAGGAACAAGGTAAAAGGGTAAAGCAGGTTGCATTTTACCAGCCTTTTCACAAGCAATCAACCAATCGGGTTTAACGATAGGAATCGAACCATCTAAAGCCTTTTGATATTCAGAACCACCTTGAATGTTACATAATAAATGAGTAGTATTAGGACCAACATGTTCGCTATAACTAGCTCCAATCCTTTCCAAAATTTCAATTAACTCTTGTTTGGTATATGAAGGATTTTCACCATCTTGTTCATCATCAATACTTAAAAGACCAAAGCAAACGTTAATACCAGTTAAATTTTCAAGAGTATGAGTTTTAATTTTAATCTTATTGGAAGTTAAAGTACCAGCCGTCGTTTTAATAATAATATAAAATTCATAATCATTATTTAATTCTAACCCACTTATTTTAATATGATTACTACCTAATAAAGCGTGTTGAACATGTTGAACTTGATTACCTTCGTGATCATAATTACGATAAACATCTATTTCTTTTAATTTTGCTTGATGTAAAACTAATGGTTCCCATTCAAGTAAAACAGATGTTTGAGTGACATGTTTGATATTAAGAACTGGTGGTTCTGGTTCATTTTGTCCAAATTCTTCAAGGATCGCTTCTTGCAATTCCCAAAATTCTTTTTTTTTTGACTCTTCTTGATCATAATTACGATTTACTCCTATATTTACTATGCTACCAGATGTTACTCCTGGCGGAAGCAATAATGATGGAAATTCTATCAAATGGTGATCTTCTGTTAACAAGATGGCCTGAAAAAACGAAAGAAAGGTTATTTAAAAATAATTAAAGTATGAAAAGGTAAATGTTTCTATGGGTAATTTTTTTTCTTATTTACCATTCCGGCATCGAGTTTCCCGACCGTAAATTGAACAGAAGTTGAGGTGGACATTGACATTATAGAATTCGTTAAAATACTATCTTTGTAGAAGAAAAAACTATTAAGAATTCGGTTGTTTGATCTGCACAACTTTATTTTACATAACTCCACGTGTTTAACAAGTTACACAAATATCGAATACATGAAAAATCAAATAATTTTTTTTGGTAAAAATTTGACTCTACACTTTTTGTTATAATAATAATGGTGTGTTTTAATTACTTTTTTGGGGGTGTCGTTATTGCGAATTGAATCGCGAAACGATTTCAAGGATTTAATTTTTTTTCTGTTAACCAATCCTTTTTGTTTCTTTTTCCTCTCAAACAATAGCTGTTTTATTCATTTTTTAAGACACTTATTGGTCACCAAGTGACAGTAGAATTGAAAAATGATTTGGCAATTACAGGTATTCTGTCGTCAGTAGATCAATTCTTAAATATTAAACTTGATGATATTCGAGTGATGGATGATACCAAATATCCTCATATGGTATTTATAATTAATTCTATTAGAACATGATTATAATAATTTGAATTTTGATAATGTTCTTACTGATTTACAATAGATGGCGGTCAAGAATTGTTTTATACGTGGATCAGTTGTAAGATACGTACAATTACCTGCTAGTGCAGTAGATACAGCTTTATTACAAGATGCCGCAAGAAGAGAAGCACAAACCCCAACAACAGCGGCTGCTCATACGATGAACCGTTAATTCAATGTTTACGAAGAAAAGAATTATATTTTTTATTTCACTTTGAGGGGGAAGTTGATAGATGATAGATGATGATATATTATATTAATTGTGTTTTAATTAAATCTTTTTGTGAGAGATAGAAAGTCTATGAATTACTAGTATAATTTTAATTGAAGGAATGTTTTATCATATCTTTCCCCTTCCCATCACACATCATTCCGTACCATATCAGTCATTTCAATTTCCTCTTTACTCCAAAATCCCCAAAAATTATAAATCAAGAAAACTATCCCCACAATGCAAAGAATTAAGTAGCACATATATTGTTTATGTCTGACTGATGTCATGTGTTTAAGTTTTCCCACTGTTCCACCCAACCCTCCTTTAACTGACGTAAACGAATCTCCCTTTATTAAATAGAGCAGAGAGAGAGAGAAGGGTTAACTCAATTTTTTCAAATTTTTTTTTTTTTTTTTTGAGAAAATTTTAAAATTAATAATTAAAATATTAACAAACCGTATCGTCAAGTAAATTAACCTGATCTTTAACGTCATCGTGAATATCAATTGTAATCTAGAAGAAAAAAAACATTTTTTCTTTAATAATAAAGGAAAAAAAAAAATACTAAATTATAATTATTTTACCTTATGTAAAGTGGTTAATTTTGAACTTAATTCCTGTAATCTTGAATCATTTTGTTGTTCAAACACTTGTGATGAACTTATACTGGGATCATGTTTTATTTTTCTTCCTGATGGTGTGGAGTCACTATTATTACTACTACCTGAGAGTAAATTTGCTCGATCTGAAGATCTATTTGTCCAATAATTGGTACTCATCTTATATAAAAAAAGTGGTTGTTAAGGAGAGTAAAATAAATAAATAGATATAAATAAAGAAGAATTATATAGTTGAAAATGAGAATGAAAAATAAATGTTTCGCATACGTAACTAAATGTTAAACAAATATATAAATGCGCATTTTATCCACGTGATCTATAATTTTCATTCTTTGTACACAATGAATTTAGCTTTTTATGTTCAGTTGCACAACATGTGACTTTACCAGAAAATTGGACCGCCGATCAATTTATTTAAATTCAATCCTAACAAATCTAAAAAAAAACGAGACGAGTTGATTTATAGGAAAATGACGGATAATGATCAGCAACAACTTCAGAATCTTGTATTCTCAGCAGAATTAAATGTTGAAAATGAGAACCTTGAACAACTTGGTCCTATCATAAAAACTATTTATGATACCGGTAGACAAGAAGCTTTCCTTGAACAGTTGGCAACTTTTGTTAGAAAGAAAGACAGTGAAATAGAGAGAATGTGTAATAGTAATTATCAGGTATGATTCACTGAAAACGATACTTGATAATTACCTTTATAAACAAAATTTTTACTTATTGATAGGAATTTATACAATCGGTGGATCAATTATTAAAAGTCAGACAAGGAACTGTTAATCTAAAGAATAAAATCATTGATTTAAATTACGATGTACAAAATTCCGGTAAAAAAGTCGCATCAAAGGTAAGTTATTAATTATTTCAAATATTAAATAAATTTTAATTTTAATTTAATTCTTTTTGTTTTAGAAAAAGGAACTTATACAGACGCGAAGAATTCAAAAAAACATTGATGATGCCGTCGAAACTTTACAATTATGTTTACATGTACTTGACATGGCAAATCGTGTAAATTATTTGGTAGAAGAAAGAAAATATTATTCGGCTCTAAGGGTGGATATAATTTGACATATATATTTCTTTAAACTTTACTAAACCAAGATATCTGATTAAATTCGATATTCCTTTGATAGACATTGGAAGAGTTGCAGACCATTCATTTGCGTAAAGTCATACAATATGAATTTGCCAAGCATATGCGTATGTTATTATACCTTCCTTAAATGATTATTTCAATTTTGATATTGATTACTAAAATCTTTTTAAATTGTTATCAGAGGAATCTATTCCTGTTATGCAGCATAATGTAAAAGATGCCGTTACAAAGGAAATGAAAGAATGGTTGTTCAAGTACATAAATCATTTAATTTTTTTATGTCAATTTTTCTTTAAATAATTATTAAGCAAATTTGTTATTAAAATTAGAGTTCGTCAAGTATCCAGGCAAGTTGGTAAAATTGCTATGGAGCAAATGAAATTACGTCAAGAACGTTGGAAGTTCAAAGTTGCTCAAAATCCTGATTTACGCTCAGTTCCAGTTAGTTCGCCAATAGAGATGGTGATGAACGAAGAAAATGAATGTATGTTAAATTATTCACATTTCTCACTTCAGACAAATTCGTTGATTTCACAAGTTAAGCTAATTCCAATTTTTTACATGATGTAGTCAATATTGTAAATAACGATCAAGTACAAATTGATTTCAAGCCACTATATCAATGTTTACATATTTATGAGGAACTTGGAAAACGAAGTGAATTTAAAACAAATTATGAAGAAGATAGAAGGGTAATTAATTCTTATTTTTTTTTTATGAAATACATTTTTGAAGTTATTTATTTATTAATTTTATTGATTATAAAAAAAAGGCCCAGTCAAATTTGGTCTTGTCACAATCATTCACATTGAGAGAAGGCGATGAAAAGGGATTCGAAGCTTTCCTTCAAGATATTGTAGGATTCTTTGTAATTGAACATGTGATAGTACATTCTACACAAAATTTTCGATCTCAAACAGAAGTTGACAACCTATGGGATTCAGTGATTGCTAAAGTTGTTAAAATTGTTAGTGAAAGTCTAGATGAATGTCATGATCCAAATTTATTCATACAAATTAAATTTTCTTTATTTACTTTTATTCAAACCTTGGAGGTATTGTTTTACATCAAATCATTTTATTTCTTATGCATCGATATTTTTATTTGAAATATATTTAATACATACATTTGATAGGATTATGGATATAATGTCGATGCATTTACTGATTTGATCTTAACAGTTTTTCAAAGATATTCTGATATGTTAAAACAAAGATTTTTGGAAGAATTCCTCCAGGTAAAACTCATCCTAAAGAACTTTGGGAATTCACTGAACTATTTTAAGATTTTAATTTGCTTTGAATATTGTAGACACTTCTATATGATGATTATATGCCAATGCCAATTAATAATGTAGAAGAGTATGGGGCCGTCGTTGACGCTTGTTGGTTTAAAGAAGATCATCGCATTAGTCAAGGGTAAGTTGAAGAAGTACTATGTTAAATTATTTAAACAATTATTCCTATAATTCATCTTTTACGTGTTAATGTTTTATAGATATCCAAGAACCCTTCCCTTTTCACAAGCATATCCTTCTTGCTGCTTAGACATTAAGAAATTTGTGGATCAATATTATACATTTGCAGAAGGCGATTCTCGACAGTATAGTACAGTAGATGATATCGCGAAACAGGTTGGTAAAAACGTAATATAATAATTTATTAGATTCAATTATCCATTAATGATCAATTTATATATAAAGACATTAGATAATTTATTAATAGAACACGTTAATGGTGTTCTAACAAGTAAATTGGAAAGCCAAAATATGTCACAGATTGTGCAAATTATAATTAATCTTGAATATTTTCATGATGCATGCGGAGAATTGGAAAAATTATTGAAAGCAAAAAGGTATAATATAATTGATTTTGATTGAATGTTCTTGTTAAAAATAGATGTTTGCATACATCTTTAGATCGTCTCATCGTGGAGGTGTAATTAAATTAAGAGCTGCTGAAGAATTTCGTGAAACCAGTAAAAAGGCGGAGAAACGTATTTTTGAACTTGTTAATTCGAAAATCGATGATTTCTTAGAATTAGCAGATTACGATTGGTAAGCCTTACTTCATACTTGAATTTTATCGTTATCAATTGTTTACAATTTATTTTATTAAAAATTAGGATTCCGGATTCTATCCAAGTTCACCCAAGTTTTTTCCTTCACGGTTTGATTCATTATTAGTATGAAATTACTTAAATTGTTAAACACATTTTTACAAATGTTATTTTTATTTTACATTAGACATGGTAAATTACCTCACGGCTGTTATTAGTTCAACATTATACAATCTCCCGATGTCAATCAAGATTTTTATTTATTTCAATGCATTAAGTCATTTGGCCTCTTGTTTATGTGTAAGTAGAACTTTGTAATAGGTCTTGTATCAATCGAAATGATGTTTTTAATCTTATGTTTTCTAAAATTATGTTATAACGTATAGGAATTGATTTTAAGTCCCGATATCAAAAGAATTAATGCAAATGGTGTTGCAAATTTTGAAGTTGATGTCACGTTCCTTGAAAATTT